CTTATAATAATGATTTGAAAGTCTTACAGTCATGGAGTCATACATTGAAGACCACAAAGAGAGACACATGGCAGATGAGCCATGTTTATTCATCACTAAAGGAATTTCTATGAACTGATCCTATAATGAAAGTCAGGAAATTCAAAATCTTAGCTCAATTTAGCACAATCCTCCAGAGGCATTTATTGTTACATGCAGAAAAAAATATTTTTAAACAGTGTCTATAAACAGGATTAGTAGCTAATATAGTTAATATTCTATAAAGCAGTCCTTTGAGATTCAGCATAGACACACCATTGATTTTTACATTTATCTTTCTTGGGACTTCTATAGTCATTTCAAGGTGTCTTCGTGTAATCCACTCATACCAGAGAATATTTTCAAGGATATTCTAAATAATTAACCTTCTCACATTGGAGTTCAAGTGTCTCACTGTGATAAAGTACTTGAACACCTCGAAAGCATAATTATAGGCATACCCTTGAGAGTTGGGATATATCCAGTTCTCAAAATGAGTGTGGATATTAAAACTGATATAGCAGCAATTAGTTATTATGAATTTTCTCCATTACCTAGCCTGTTAGATTATGTCAGTGAAACATAACTCTGCTTAAAAGAGCCCACATAATTTCTGATTGCCACTGTCAATCCTCAGTCGTGAATTTATTGTAGTGTGTCAATTGCAAAGATATCAAAACTACTTTGACTTCCCTTTTTTATTTTCTCCTACTATTGAATCAGTTGTGTGTTAACATAACACATCTCAAGTAGACTTCTTTTAACATATAGAAGTTATTTTTGGAGAAGAAATAATGCATCACTTAAAATTATAAAAGATTCCTTGCAGAATAAAGAATCACTTAACTATGATTAACTTATAAATGTGAGTAGGTTTAATTAGACTAAAACTTGTTGTTTTTAACTTGCAAAGTATCTGGCATTATGTAAAATATGATAAAGACCCATGAAATTGTCTTTCATAAAAAGCCACTCTGAGTTCAGTCCATAAAGGTGATTCTGAATAAGATAGGATAGTTAATGGGCCCCAAATGTTTTGGGGTTTTTTGTTTTTGCTTCTTCTTTTTTTTTTTAATGTAAAGACCACTCCAGAGGTTGACCTGGAGAGACATTCCAAACATTCCAGCCAAGTCCTTTGTTCAGGTGTGGCAGAAATGGGGAAGAGAGAAGGACCTGAGTAAAGACTCAAGGGCTAGCCTATGGGTTAGCTTAAAACTTAGTGCTTTTCCAATATTTGTTTAGCATATATTTTGACCAATAGCCTTCACATTTTTCTAATACCTGTATAGCAATGTCCCTACCCAGAGGCTATATAAGCCCCTAGACTAGCACATTTAAGTGGTAACTTGCTATGGGATCTCCTCGTGCCTTGCAAGAGTTCTATCTCTTTTCTTCTCACCTACATAACTCCTACTCCTTTCACCCTTGCCTTCCATTTTCGTCTGTGAATTTCATTCTTCAAATTTGCGAGACAAGAACCTGAAAAAAAAATTGACAGCTCACTGCTACAGTCTATCATTAGGACCTGCAACATGCCACTTGATAGTAGTGGAGAGAGTAGTAGTGGAGAAGAATCTGACTTTGCCAGGTACACACTTGGAGCTAATACCAGCAGGAATGCCTGCTATGATTAGCTGCTAAAACTAAAATGATCTTTCTCAACTTCAGAGGACTCTAACTTATGCAGACTTCACCTGCCAGCAGAACTGGAGAACTGAGTTTTGTCTCAAACTCCAGTTTTAATATTTTCACCACCAATACCTTAACATGTAGCTTCTAAAATGCAAAATCAAGAGATTTATGTTCTTCTTATCAACACATTAATCTAGTATTCAGAATATTTTTCCAAAACCTCATTCTACTTGAATCACAAAAAAATAACATTCCAATAGAATGGAAAGTTTGAGAATGGAAATTTTAATAGCCTCTACCTGGTGCACCAGTGTATGTATGATACACTATGACAGATACATTTTTCAAATGATACAGTTAGTGTGAAGATCTCTAATAAATAATCTTAGAGTTTTTTCAACGTATGTTGAAAATTCTTGACTACCAAATTGATCATCATAACTCTAGTTACGGTGGAAAATGTGCATATTCTATATACAGTTCTAAAGCATGGATCACTTTACACAAAATGCAGCAAGTCTCCTCAAAACCTTTCAATTACTTCTCCTAAATGTTCAGTTATATCAAAGATCTTTGCCATGACTAGAGAATCCTACATGATTTACATGGCTTCAACTATTACTTTGGACTCACCTCCTACCTATGGTCAACTGTCCCTTTTCTGTACCTCTACTTTAATTCCAGCTTCCTTACTGTTTCAGACCTGTTGCTCCCTCTATTCCCTTTCCTTGACATGTCCTCCTATCTCTGTTCCATTACACACACACACACACACACACACACACACACACACACACACATTTTTGGTCTATCCTTGTTCTAATTTGGTTTGTTTTACAGCACTTATCACCAACTAACATGTTTGTCTATTTCATCCATTCTTCCTATAAAATGTTTAATTTATAAGAAAAAATTCTAGGTACTTGAGGCAGTACCTAGAATTCTGCAGTTGATCAATAGCTATGTTTTGAGGAAATAAATCAATGAATAAATAAATATAATCAATTTTTTAAATCAAACACTAAATTATTTTTCAGGCCTGGTGTGATGATACTGCAATTGTCTAAAATTCTGCTTTATTTTATCTTAAGAGGATTCAACCCACCAATAACCTATTCCTTCTTACTATAGATTTTTACTTTACTCATAATGCTAATAAAGTACTAAATAAATACCAAAGTCTGGAAAACACCATAACCAAGGCCATTCATAATAAACTAATCTCAGTAAAAACTCATAGATCAAAACAACAAGGAAAAAAACATTGGAAGTCATTTCGTAGTCTGTGGTTATTTAATATTTCCAGAAAATAATTTAGAGCAATAAATCAAATAATTATTAGTTGTGATATGAAAAAAATAAGTTTCTGAGACAATAAGCACAATGAGTATAGTAGATGAGGATCTCCTTTAGATAGAGTGATTAGGGATGAACTCTCTGAAAAGACAACATATTGAATAAGAGCAGACAGAAGGGTCCAATCATGAGAGATGGAGGGAGAAGTCTGATAAAGGGAAAATGTGGGCAAAGTCTCTAAGCCTGGGAAGAACATGGGATACTTGAAGAAGTAAAATCACCCAAAATGTTAGGAGCACAAGAGGGAGAAGGGTCAAGTAGGCATGGTCTTATCAACCCTTTAAACTACAATGAGATGTCTGAGAATGATTTTGTGTCCAAAACACCACAAGTGTTAGAATTAGCAGAAGGACATGAGTGGATTTATGTTTTAAGAAGGTAATTCTGGTTGCAGAATGGAGACTCAATTGGAGAGGCCTAAGAGTAGCTACAGGGAGGTATTGTACTATTCCTGGTAAGTGAGGGCTTTCACCTGAAAGAAGGTGCTGTGGACAGAATGTTTGCTTCCTCCCAAATTCCTATGTTAGTACCTAGCCCCCATTGTAGTGGTTTTAGAGGTGGAAGATTTGGAAGATGATTAGGTCATGAAGGTAAAAACCTTAAAAAAGAGATTAGTGTTCTTATAAAGGAGACTCCAAAGAGACACTTCCACCGAGGGAATTCACAGCAAGAAGACAGCAGTCTGCAACCCAGAAGAGGGACTCCACCAGATACAAAGTCTCTTGATAACTGTTTCCTTGGATATCCAAGCCTCCAGAAACATGAGGAATGCATTCCTGTCTCTAAGTCACATAGTCTATGTTATTTTGTTATAGCAGCTGAAATGGACGAAGACAGAAGGATGTTAGTAAAGTTTAAGAAATAAAGATGGTCATGTTGGAGACCTGTCTGGGTGGAAGAACTGATAGGCTGAATTGATAGATTGGATGTGAAGTATGAGGAAAAGGGAAAATCACAGATGGCACTTACATCTCTGACTCAAGCAACTGGGAGAATGATAGGGATAGATTAGTCAGAGAAGAAAAACTTGGGTTGAGGAGTGTAAAAGAGATGATTATATAGGTAAAGGAGAAAATCAGGAATCTTTAAACATGTCCTATTTGAGAACTGGTGAAACCTCCCAGTGCAGCAGCTGGTAGACATTTTGATATGCAAATTAGTAGTTCAGAGAATGGGCTAGGGTTGGAGGCAAATTCTTGGTGCTCTCTCTAGGTACTGGGGCACATCTGTGAAAGGGCTAGCCGCCGCTGGGAGGCTATATATTAAAAGGGTAGCTCTTTCAAGGAACTCTTTTGGTAATCAAAGCTATATGCTTATTTTTCCAACCCCTTTCAATAGAGCTAAAGCAGTAACAATGAAGCCTATCTGAATTGGCAAAAACTATGCCAATCTCCCTCCCCACTCTTCCCTCCTTCTGATACTCCTTTTTTTTTCCTCTCATTCCCTCCTTCTCCCTGTCCCCAGCTCCTAACTTTCCCTACCTCTCCTACCTCCCTCTCCCTTACCTCCATCCATTGGATTTCTTCTTAGCTTAGCAGTAAAATCTGAAAATTGGTTCTAAGGGATTTGTAAGTGAACAGACCTTATTGACCCATGACCTATGAAGCCAAACGTGAGAGAAAATGTGGCCATAGATGACTAGAGTTCTCTTACTGTGGCTGAGGAACCAAGACCAGCTAACAATAGGTAGTACATGTCTCCTCTGTGTCATTTTGACTTGTGACTATATCCTCTCCCCTCCAGCAAAAGATGACTGTGATCTAGAGTAAATTCTAGATATACTGAATGGCACAATGTCATTGTCATCATTATTTCTGATAAAGCTAAATTTCTTTATTTGACCTTGCATTTTACCTGTCAGATGGCTGCCTACTTTGCTAATTGACTTGCAGTATTTAATAATTAAGACATTCACTATATATAATTTACTATCCTTTTAGACTGTGCTCTTAGAGAATATGAATACTCTGCTGATTCTATTTAACTTGAAACAGATCCGGGCACCTGCTTCTAGGATGCAACACATCTCAGCTGTGGAATTTTTTAAATGCTCTAGCAATTGGAGTTCATATTCACTATTGAATGGCATCCCTCATCTGTAAAGTCATTTACAAACTTTACTGATCAAGCCGTACATTTTTGAGTTGGAATTTAATCTACAGAGGCTTCTGCAGAATGACTTGAATCCTTTACTAATCATGGGCAATGGTAAGATTTATTTGGTTCAAGGTAATTTGCATTATTTGCTTATTATACCCCTTGGTTCCTGCTGCAGACTGCTGTGCTCTGTTGCTGGAGCTGGAAAGTAACTCATGACCTCATCCTACTCCTGAGGTAAGAGCACTTTGGTGCCGGATGAAATTTCTTAATATGAAAATATCATCATTTATGTATATACAATCTTTTCTCTATGTCCACATCATGCTACACATGTCCTCCCTGGATATAATTTCATAAACCTCTATGAAGTTATATTGTTCCAAAACATTAAGCCAAAAGCAGTACTGCTCCATTTGACCATAGTCACGGCATGACTCCGTCATCCCAACACAGCAAACTCCACAATCCATATCCATGTTTCCTAATACTAACAAAATTGCTCTTGTGCTATTTCCTACCACTCTCAACCTGAAATAAGCGTGGTAGATGAATTAAGCATATGATAATGTGGGAGCATTTTAATCAACCCTAGGTACCATTTTATGACTCTCCAAAATATATGGTTTTATTTTGCCTAAAATATAGAGAATCAATGACTCAAAATATAATGAGTTAAAGATATGCAACCACAAACTTTTATTCCTGGTTAGCAGCCCTAGATAGTTTGCAACAGATTATTTAATACACTTAAAGCACTGTTTAAAAAATTAAACTTCATCTAAATGAATAATACTTTGGTAAATGTACTGTTTTATGTGGAAAAGGAGTAAACACTTGTAGAAATAGATTGTATTTACATCCATTAGTATCTGAACCAACATCTATGCTTGTCAGGTAAGATCAATATACTTGCTTCATGTTTGCATCAAGAATAGCAAGAGGGCTTTTGACTGGAAAAGATAATACCTAGAGTTTAATCTTGGTATATCAGAAGATAAAGCACTCAATTGTCCAAGAGATTATAAAATTTATGTTTTAGTACCTTGTAGACATTAACCATATAGACATTAGACCAGATAAGAGAATTTGTAATTTTGAGAACAAAAATATAACACAGAGTCACTCATTAATGCTTATGGAGGGTTTTTCTCAAGAAAGCACATAAAAATGACTAAGGTTGTCTCCAATATGCAGACAAGAAAATATATAGCTCTGCATTAAAGTCAGGAAATATGTTCTATATTAACAAATTCACTCCCCAATCCATAAATTGTATGCAAGGAAGATTAAATAATTCCAACATGACAGAATTTGTTAAAAATAAAATGCTTATAAATCTTTACCTTCTTTTTTTAAACTAACCTACTCTATATTTGCTCAAAGATGATCAGGACCAACAGTAGTTACCCCATTCATGGCTCTTTTAATACAGGTTCTCAATTTCTCTTCTGAGAAAGATGTTCTCTAGAAATCCAATTAAATTATGGAACTATGGGGTATCATAATTAGATCTTTCAATGTTGAGGTCTGCAGCATTTTACAGACGTAAGCAAATATATCTCAAAAAGCAATCTTTTAAGGTCTTGATAAATATATTTTTATTTTTCCCTAATTCTGTATTTTAATCCTGGCAGATTTCTGTGATGTTCAAGGATACCCCACTGATTCTGAAGGCAGCGTCTCAGGGGCCCTCCTAGTTGTATTCCCAGAATCTGTGAAATGTCAAGAAAATAGGTTTTATTTCAAGAATGTGATTCAAGTTATTCATATGTCATCCTTTTTATAAAATAATCTTTGATATATTATGGAAAATGAAATATTTCAGAAAAAATCATAAATAACATTAAAAATGTGTACAGCACCTTTTACTTTTGTTTTCTAGCTAATTTGTACAGTGTACACCCCAGTGATGACACACTCACCAAACTTCTGTCCTTTTATTAGATTTTTGCCAAGTTCAATAGGCAGAAAGACAACTGAGATGGACCTGGACAGACAGAGAAGTAAAAGCTGACACAAACGATTCCAAGTCTAAAGAGAAATGCACTTGCCATTGAGCTCTTGCTGTGGAATAGCTTACTAATTTTCCTTGAAGTAACAACAGCTCTTTCAAAAACATGAATAAATTGGAAGTGTCTAGCCAATATAAGGATCTCATGGGAACCAATCTGTGAGTAGCACATTGATCCATTGATTTTTTTTTATATAAGCACTTTCTGATAATTCCTTGAGAACTACCCAAGATGGCATTTAGCACTGAACTCATGCCGTACTCCTGGATTTCTACCCTAGCCGCAAGCAAAAAAAAGAAAAATGAGTGATAGTTCAAGGGTTACAGGCCAATGAATACTAATTTTGCAATTAATAATTATCAACTTGATTAGGGAAGTGTGGTAAAATAGGGTTATGGGGGTGGGAGGGATCGAGTATTTGCTTAGGTTACTTTTGTGCAAGAAGGTTACCCCATCACCAAAAAAAAAAAAAAAAAAAGAGTGGGGAGAAAAGGAACGAATTACCTGCTGCTTTCAGTGAAGATCATGTCCCTGGGGGATCTAGTAATAGCAGTGAATCAGCAAAAGATCTTGGAACATCCATGCTCGAAAATAACCTGGCAAATAACAACTGAGACTCTGGTGTGATAATATACTAACAGCCATGTCAGCTTTCAATGAACTTTCTCCACGTTAATGTCAACCCCACCCCCAAAACATGGCTTGGAAATCGAGATTTGCAGTAGTTCCTCTGTCTATACACATCCAGCAGAAGAGAGGAGAGCAACAGACATTGCTTGAATAATTCACAGAGTAGCTAAACAGAAACAGTTCAACTCTAAACTCTAATCCCCAGACTTTCATATTTCTTGGGAGATTAGAAAGGGGCTTGTAGAAAAGGAGGACAAGGAAGTTATGCAAAACCAAGTTACTACTTTTCTAATCTAAGATGTAGACGTATGCTTATCAAACAGGGCCTCTGAAAGTCCTATAAGTTCCAAGAAATGTAAAACCAATTGCCTGTTGCCTCCTGAACTCTATTAATTGACTTGGAGCCAATAATTTTTAAAAATTGATGCCATTATGCAATAGATCATGGTTAGGTCTTTCCCAGATGTTCCGTTATGTGTTATATGTGTTTCCTACCAAAAGGAGCTATGCCATAGCCCTCTAGCAAGGAAGCTCAGGCCTCCAAAATGAGTTCCAGGAGTCAGTGAGCTATAACTGACCATATGGGATCACCCATTTCAATCTTCTGACACTCTTCCCCTACCCAAAGGGGGCAATCTCACCTGCGTCCTTCACAAGCAGTGGAATTTGGGTTTCCTCTGCGTGTAACGGCTGGTTGTGGAATAAAGCTAAGAAAGACAAAATGGACACAGGAAATAATTTTAGAAAGTGGGGATGGGATGGCTCTTCGACCTTAGGGGTCAAGCTTCCACACTGGAAAGAGAGAGCGAGAACCCACATTTGCTTTATTTATATGAGGGAAGCATCAAAGGTTTTTTCAAGGAATGTTCTTTTGCCAAATAAAGGTAGGAGGTGGGCTGTCCAGTTTCTAATGGGTTTCTGGAGTTAGGAGATCAGCCTCCCTAGTTCAGCAAAGACAGAGGTCAGTGCACTGGGCAATCCATCAAGTGGGAGGAGCCACAAAACAGATTGCAATGCCAAACCTAAATTTCTTTGGCTCAAGCCTGAGTGAAGATGCTCAAATAGCTCAGGGGTGGCTTCCCACAGGACAGGATATCTAGTTCAGTGTGCTCTAGAAAGTACTTCCTTATCCATCCCAAGAGGAAGAATGCCTGGGCCATGAGATTATTTTATTATATATATATATATATATTCATATATCATTTATGTATAATTCATATATATTAATATATAATATCATATATGATTACATATGATATCATCTCTATGAGATTATCATATATATGATATGACAATCATATATCTCAGATAATTCATGATTATATATGTGATAATCTCATGGCTCAGGCATTCTTCCTCTTAGGATGGATGATAAGGAAGTACTTTGTAGAGCACATTGATTGCACTAGATAGCCTGCCCCTTTTGGGTAGAGAAAGGTTAAAATTTGGTCATCCCATCTGATAGCTATAGTTCACTAACTCTTGCAACCCATTTTTGGAGGCCTGAACTTCCTTACTAGAGGGCTGTGGCATAGCTCCTTCTGATAGGATACAGGAGATATAGAAAGGAAGGAAGGAAGGAAGGAAGGAAGGAAGGAAGGAAGGAAGGAAGGAAGGAA